GTACCTTAGCAAGGGTGCAATCTATGAAAAATAGTTAATAAAAAGGTGAATCACTTTAAAAAAAGCAATTTTAAAAGACATAAATTAAATAAATAGTTGCTTCAACTCTGCTGATCAATATTTCTGACAAAATATCATATCAAGGTTATATACAGTGTTATTGCTGAAAAAATGTATCTATAAAATTTATATTTTATATTGGTTGAATAATGTAGCTCTTTGTTTAAAAAAAAATGTTTGCCCCTTTCAATTTACTAAGCCTATGAAGTAAAAAAGACCTTATTACAAATTTTTGAAAAACAGCAAAAAAGCACAGTTTTGCACGACGATTGGCCAAACAATAGATTTTTTTACAAAAAAGTGTGATTTTTTCACGTTTCTTAGCTCACTATTCTCAATGGATTTTAAAATTTTTAAAACTGCTCGAAAGATTCGTGCTAACGACCTCTAAAGATCGGCCGAGTCGTTTCTTAAAATTAGTAAAAAAAATGCTGATAAAAAAATTCTTGAAACTTTTTATGTTGATAAATATGTATAATGATCCTAATAAAATCCGTATATATATAAATATAATGATTCTAAAATATTACGGCTCTACGACAAATCGCTTAATCTGAAATTCAAAGTTCAAACAAATATGCTGGTCCAAATTTGGGCCTAAAGTTTCTATTGTGATGTGATAAGTCAGAATTTGAATTTCACAAATTTAAAAACCATTGAAATAAATGACTCTGGAATTAGCAAAAAAGTAAGTGAGCAGTCTACGAAACTTCTTTTGTTGTGTAAAAAATGTTACCAATAATTTAAATCATTAAATAAAATTAAGGATATGTATCTATCATGTACTAAATAAATAATATAGTACATGATATATGTAATAGTTCCAGTATCTAGAAAATCTTATGGAAGACGCTCAATATTTCACAAAATAATTTACTAAGATTTTCAAAAAAAAATGTTTCGACATTTTCCCTGAATATGAACTAAACAGTCCTGCAAAATTGGTTGAATTATATGAATTAACTAAAAATTTTAATAATAAACAACAATTTTAGTATATTCAATCACGTATCTGTGCCCTGTATTTAATATAATTACAGATAATTTAATTGTGTTTGAGAAAATTTAATTGGAAATGGCAACGTTTAAATTTATTTGAAAGCGCAAACTTCATTTTTAAAATAAGCCGTTAAAAATTTTATCTAAATATCTAAATCTCGATTTCGGTTGATTAAGTCAATTATTACTCGCCTTAAGGGGCACAACTAGTGTAACCGCCTAAAAAAATGTGATTTTTGGGAATTTATATTAAAAAAAACTACTTTATCAACCAATTGAAAATTTTAGGAATATATTTATGCATACTTTAAGAGTGCATAGTAAAATTTTTAAAGAAAAAAATCAGATATTTTTTAAGTTATCGTCGATCTCCAACGGCGCGACAAAAAAACGCCCTTAACTGCTGCAGTGATTCCGGCCTTCTACGTGGATAAAATTTAAAAAAAAAATCTTGTTAAACTAGATAATATTGTCTGTAAAATAAACTACGATAAACGAAAAAAATCAAAAATTGATAAAATGACGGCGTTGTTTAAAAAAAGTCGAATTTTACCCAAAATTTTGGTCGTTTTTGGTCTGCCAAAATTCGATTTTTGATCCGATCAAAAAATTGATAGTTTATTTTACGGAGAACTATATATAGAACATATAAAAAAAATTCGATAGTGATCGGATCATTTGTTTTTGAGTAATCACTGCAGCAAATTCGAAAAATGCTATTTCGAGAAAAACGCGTTTAAGGATAGAATAATCGTTATACTATATACTATATACATACTCTTTAAATGTTTAAATGGCTGTGACTCAAAAACTATTGGAGATATCGATTTAAAATTTTGGTATGTTATGTTTAGAAGTATAACCTATCGAAATCTGGAAAAATTAAAAATTCGATTTTTTGAAAATTTCACACTAGTTGTGCCTCTTAAGGCAAAATGCCACTTACAACTAGTAAAATGTTCATAGTTTTAATAACTTCATAACTTAGCAGTCCCCCGTTTCCTTCGCTCTTAGCAAAATGGTTTCTAGCATTAGCACAGGCATTATTATTACAACTGCATGGTGCAATAAAAGCGCAGACTGCATAAAAATATGAAAAAACAAAATGAAAAGCATTTGGCTAATTTCGTTCTGGCCATTTTCCATTTGCCACCAGTAGTAGTTCCGTCGTATACCCACAGTCACAGTGTACTGATAGAGGTACATGGTGGCAAATTATTTTAATTCCGCCATCAGAAAGCTCATTAAGCGTTGTCGGCTGTAAACCCATGCGGGTTAATCCACATTTGATTGCCTGCCTTGCCGGAGGAAATAGCCCAGGAGCCGAAGGGCCGAAGGCAGAAATTAGATAAGTGGTAATTGACATGAATTATAATGTAGTTATGTGCGGAAATATGAGGTGTTACCAGGAATTACTTATGTAATGTTTAATGGCTATAATTTTACATATGGTAAATTAATTACAAAATTCGTGAAAGGTGATTTTGACTCAATTCTTCGAAAATGTTTGCTTACTATATTTGTTATTATTATTACAAGGCCCAATTGGACTTTGAGCCCAAAAGTCCAATTTGACTTATCAATTATCAATTATCTGACTCTGTTTAGTAAAACTCCCAGCCAAAACATCGTTGCAAAATGTGTTTTATTTGCTTATTTACAAAAATTTGTTACATGGTTCTTTTAACCTTTTAATAGTGCAATTACAGGACATATAAGTCTTACTTTTAATTTTAAAAGAATTTTACAAAATAAAAGCTACGTTATTCAACCAATGCAAAATATAAATTGAATGGTGACATTTTTGACACCGTGTATAACCTTGATCTGGTATTTTGTCAGAAATATTCATCAACAGAGTTGGAATAACTATTTATTTGATTTTTACCGTACAAAATTGATTTTTTAACATAATTTACTTTTTATTTACAATATTTTATTGTCTTCCAGGGTAAAGATTCAGTTGGTCTTTTTTACCCCATTTTACGTTTAAGCTTTTATAGAGGTTATATAAAAAAATCTGTTAAATCTAACTTAAAATTAACAATACTTCTTATAAAATAATTAAATAATGTACTCTCAAAAATTATATTAAAGTCTTGTAAACTAAACAACTCAAAACCTACGAAAGAAAGTACTTTTGTTATAGATTTGTATAGTTGATAACATTGTCGTTTAGACAAAGACAAGACCTAAACATATTTTTAAGATTTATATAAAAACTTTGTATATTTATGGCAATTTTAATGAAATTCGATTTTTGTTCGAGAAAATTAAAGAGAAAGAAAAAAAATTAGGATAAAGTCTATTTTAAAAGTTTTGAAATTTTCTTTAAAAAAAATCAATCAGGTCCCCCCGTCAGTACGATTCGATTGTAAATTATTCAAATCAGTTGATCCATGGTAACCAAATCGTGTATAAATAATTAAAAACATTTTGCACACATATGTTCATTTTTTTTAAGTTATGTCAAAATGTTCAGGGAGCCTTGAGACGTCAAGATATCCAAAAAAAATTATTTTCGATTTTTTTGCGATTGCTATTATTTACTATATGGGCGGCTAATAAATATTTAATGTTTTTAATTTTTTATTATTTATCAAAAATAGACTATATATTAAGACATGAAATAAAGTGGAATTAATATATTTCCATATTAATAATATATCATAGTGATTAAAAAAATTAAATATAATCTAGTTAATAGAGCAATATTAAGATTATCCAAAATAGAATAGTAATTGTTTACTATTCTACATTTTTTCGATTTATTTTCAAATATAGCGATGAGGTTAACACTTTGCTTCGTTATCACAAACCAGGGTTCAAATACGGACAACCTAATATCAAGCAGTAATAATAACCACTTGAAAATCTAAATCAAATTTGTTACCTATGCAAAAACTATAAATATATGTATATGTTTACGAAAAAAAAACATTAAAATGGATTGTATTTTAAAAATTACTCCTGTCAGCGCTTGTATTACCATCATTTGGTATGGGTAGCTATATCACAACTGGGAATTTACGCTGAAATGACAACATAATTACAAAGTAATGGTACGATTCATATATATTATATTATATCTATATATATATATATATATATATATATGTTATCCAATAATTGCGAGACCAAAGTAATTTGTCATTTGTTATATTACGCATCGTAATAAATTCGAAATTAACAAATTACTCTCTGCCATTGTGCGAATGTAATGGAAATTCTGAAAACAATTATTGATTGTCAGGAAATAGACACATATTTCAACTATTTATATTGAGGTTTATACTAAAACCGACATTTTAAAAAATAGAATTTGAAAGAGGATTTTTCCGGGACACCGAAATTGACCGGTTATAAAATTTTATAAAACAAACTATTTGCACTAAATTTCAGGCACATTTGGGAAATCAAAAATTTGATATATTATTACTTCGATTTTCATAAATTCAATAATTTTTAATTACGAAATTCAATACAAAATTTAATAATAGTCAAACAACTAGTAATAAAGAAGATCAAACATATTTGGAAAACCGAAATTTTAGCTAAAATTGTAAGAAAACATGACATATATTGCTTCTATTCCGCATATAACGTCTGACTAAGTTTAATAAAAAATCGAAATTTAAGTGCTTTACCGTATTTTTGGTGCAAATTTTACACCATCTTATTTGCTAAAAATTATATTTCTAGATTTCTTAAAATAAAAATCTAGGCTTGATTTGTGTAATTTATAACTCAAGAATGTTACTAATGAATAATTGAGTAATATGGTTTTAAAAATGAAGTTCATTTACACGAGTAATTTATGATATGTTTATAATACCGACATATGGTTTCTGAAAGAATCCTCAAAAGCTATTTTCATACTGACATACGTACATTTACTTATTCATGCATACAAAAGTACACTTATCATACGGAGTAATAACATGTCTTTATGTCTTCCCCCAAAGTTATTACAAACTCCTATGCAAAATACTAGAATTAAGGCTCACGAAATGGATGGATATAGGATGTAGGTAACTTTTGAAAAATATTACAACTTTCCATCGTTGGTTTGGTTGGATATGTCTGTAGTATGACTTGTCATTGCACGGTTCGATGGCCTCATTTTCGTTCAATTTATAATATCGCGTGTCTAGAATTATTTGGTGAATTCTCTCTTACTCGTCCTTGTTTGGAATATTTTCAATAATGTACGTGACCGGAGTAACTCAATATGTACATGCGCCCGGGAATGATGTATGTGAAAAAGGTCCCAGTATAATGTAGATTGTGGAATGATTTAAATACGTTTTTTGTGGATGACCTTTGAGTTTTTGTGATTCTTTCATTCGGGGATCGTGATATGTATGTGTAAGATACATGACTGGACAAGCATTTTTAGATTCCGTTGGTGAAATTGGATCTTTTTGTAATTCACCCAAAACTATGCATGTTAGCTTGTAACCAGAATTTATGAGTACGAGCTAGCCTAGAGATGTTATGCAATCGATTTTAATTTTTTATATTTTTAAATTTTAACTCTTTAAGAATATGTGTACTAGAAGATTTTTCAAAATTTAAATAATTTTCGAAGATATAGCTGTTTGACCACGATAATCCTCCACTGTTTACTTCCTCAACTTCTACGGGACCGATTTTTTTGAAATTTTCACTGAGTCATGTGAAAATTCATGCCATTTGACTAGAATACCTCTTAATTCAACTGCATTTTGGACATATATCTTTTAAAATGGTAAATTCATTTTTTAGATTCTATTTTTATAGCTAACATGATTAGGAGGTTTTTTAGAAGATAAAAGCTATTTTTCGTAAAATTTTAAATATCATTTTAGAAATATTCGATGTGAAAAGGCAATTTGAATTTACTTATTTCAATAAAAAAAATGATCACTATAGCTAAACAAGTTTTTTTAGGTATTACGTCACGACAGCACATAAATCACAAAAAATTATTTTAATTGCTAAAGTAAGTAAAAACTTTTTTTATATAAAACTTTCAAAAAAATTACAACTTTTTGATATTCTCTTATTTGTTAAAAATAGTAAATAACCCAAATTTGGGGATGTGTTTAGTTTATATAAAATGTCTATAAAAAAAAATCTGTAATAATTTTGAGTAAGTTTATGATCAATTGACCAATTTAACATGTTAATCGCCGGAATAATATAAAAAAAATCACATAGATCCTGGTAATTTTTTTAGATAATTTAGTTGAAAATGTACCAAGGAAATTCAATGCATCAAAACAATTTTTTTCGCCAAAATTCCTAGAAAACATTATATTTTCTGTCATACATATATGATTGATATAGCCTTATATTAACCCTATTTTTTTACCAAAACGCGTATGTGTGACATAGATTATATACAACATCTTAGGGTCAAAGATATGACTATCATGACTGTTTCTGATATAAAAATAACTAAATACCAAATATCATTTTATTATATCAACATTACATATACCATCAATAACGCAATATCCAATCCTTAACATTTGTCTTCCATATATCAACCACTTAATTTACTAGTGCTCGGGCGACTGTTGGCTCAAGGCAAATAACAACACATTTACAATTAGACTTTGGCATAAATCACAGAATCACTGGCTTTACTATCACAACGTTCTGCCCACACCATATTTCAATAGAACAGATTCGTAAGCATTAATTCTGGGAAAGGACAAGTCCTGGAATAAAAATCCTAAAACTAATTGAGGGTGTGGCTGAAATAATGGTCCCAGAGAAATCGAAATATATAATAGAGACTTATTTTTAAAAATATAGTTATAAAGTACTATACTATACATTAGGGTTTATACAAAAATCGACATTTCAGAAAACCGGTTTTCGAATTTTAAATTTGCTAAAAACCGGTTTTAACCGGTTTGCGAATTTTATATAGAAAATAAATTTTTGCTCGAATATTCTGTAATTTATCCGCAAATTTAGTGTAATTCAGAGCAGTATTTGACTGAATTTCTTTATTGATCAATTTTATAGATAGTAAATAAAATTATTTTGGTTTTAATTAGTAGAACTAAAAAATAATAGTTTATCTTGATTAAATAACTTTGATAATTATTCGTTATTCATGCATGATTTTCACATATAAGAATGAAAATATTTTTATGATGGTGAACGGAAAGTTTTCGAATAAATAAAAATAATACATTAATAAATAACAAAAATCCATTAAATTAAAAGAAAAATAAAAAATATTAGATACATGTTAATATCAATTTTAGTTTTGAAAACAATTAAGCTAAACTCGGATATTGTCTGTTCCGAGCAATTTTAATTAATTAATTTTAAAGATTCTAATTGTTTTTTTGTTTGATAAATATGATTTAAAAAACTGAGAACGTCTATCGAATTGCTACTTAGACGTGTCCTTTGTTTACTCACAAATTTTCCTAAAATATAAAATATTCTCATACTTGCGACCAAATTATGCTTAATTGTTTTTAAAGCCGGATATAATAATTCTACGTTTTTTGTTATTTAATTTGTGGCTTCTAGGGTTTAAAACTTTTTTTTAAGTTTGAGTAGAGGAAGTTCCTTCTTCAAGACGAAGCCAAACTGATTTAAATTAATATGTACATTGGTATAAAAATCTAAATTAATATATCAAATGCTATTGAACCGATATGATTTCAAGAATCAAAATGCTTTCATCTATCTTTTATATTTGGCTATATTTGTCATTTTTTATTCATACAGTGAAAACCGACTTTTTTTCACTAAAAACCCGATTTTCGAATTCCATAATTTTCGCCAAAAAACGGTTTTTAAAACCGGTTTTTGAAAACCGACAAACCCTACTATACATACATGTTACATTAAAATAAAATATGTTAATTAATACTAAGTTTGTTTTTTTTTCAGGTTTCTGCATCGGAGGATTTACATATTACTGGTAAGTCCTATTTTCATATAGAATTTTTTATTACCTCCATAAGTTATACAAAATTCAATTATTCCTTTGATTTCGGCAATCTTTAGAATATCATTTCCCAAAGCATCGTTTCATAAAACTTTCACCCTGATTATTCGTGTTTTGAAGTCAGTCGGGGTAAAAAGGCAGTTACACTTTACTTTTACGACTCCCGTAATTTACCAGCTGCAATTCATAGGAGGCGAGAGATCCGCTTCCCTATATTTTGCACAAGTGCCATAAAAAAGTAAACTGAATTTCTGAACGGCCGATGTAATAAACTAACAATGAGACAATTACTCGTAAAATATTTCAAGTTGTTGAAATGGAATGGCCACTGGTGAAATTGAAATTAATGGCGGTTTCTGAGAATAAGTATATCATGTATTTAGAAAAAGTATCGTTCATTCAAAGTGGGTTTATTTCGTCATCTATTATCCGACCAACCCAACCCATCCCGTTTCATTCCCGTTTTTTTTATCTCAACACACCACAATCAAAAAACCGTCATGCGGCGCACACAATATAATACAATACCCACACACGATATCGAATTGTTCACAGTCACTTTGATAATAACAACCGGTTGAATTCAATCTCGCCGAGTACGAGATGAGGGTCTATTCCAGATGCCTTATAGGGTATCAAAGTATAATCCCTAGTTTCCAGATGATGAGGCCTTGAAACGCGATTTATGGGCAGGGCAATAAAAATGCTAATCAAGATCTGCATGTGTGAAGACATACGGGTTCGAATTTGAATAAAAGATTACACAATTAAAATTCAACTTTGGAATTTTTTTGCAGTATGCAGTTGTAGAGTGTTAGTACGATTGTAGAATATATTAGGGTGGGGAAATAGAAATCTATTACTTTTGGTTTAAAATTTTAATTCATTGGTATGTGGTCGATTTTGGGCGATGTCACGGCTGCATACATATATCGGTCAACTTCGATCATTTCTCCGATTTTATCGACATTCTCGACAACCTGACATAAAAATCTCCAAGGACATCTTTAATATTAAAAAAATCCTAAACGAAATCTACGAAACCAATTGGATGTTACAATATTGCAACCATAAACACTATTCACAATTTTCATCACGCCATAGTTCATTTATGTTATTATTTTTGTATTACTGTTTTTATATTATTTTTATTTCGACTTTTTTTTTAATTTATATTCAATTTATTGTATTTATTTTATATTTTTTCTTTTTTTGCAAATATCAAAAATAAGACATTAAAGTAACGATTAACAAAAATAAATTATTACCTTCCAACGACCATAAATCTGAAATTGTTTGATTGATACTTTATGAGAAATCTCTCAGTATAGCCATCTACCATAAAAATAAAGGATTTCTTTTTCTGATTTTTTCTTTCCCCAACCTAATATAATTTGCCAGAATATATGAATGTGTAGAAGAATCGATTGATAACATCAAATTTCATATTATTGAAATAAAATTTGCAAAACTTTTACATATATCGCTTAATCTCTTCTTTCAATTTCCGTAAGGTAAGTTATTGTAATCGTCCAAAAATCGAAATTTAAAATTTTTGCATTTCTTCACGTTTTGAAGGTTTCTGAACATTTTGGCATACCTCAGAAAGAATGGATGGTGTGTGTGTATATGTAAGAATACAGTTTTTCGTCTACGTTTTCGGGTGCACGGATCAACCGATTTGACAGGTTCAAAAAACATTCAATTTCTATTGATAGGGAGATGTGCTGATCAGTTTTTGGCAAAGGCAGGTTCAGCCGTTACGGAGATACGAAGCAAAGAGTGCAGAAAATAGAAATGGAGTTTTTGAGAGAACGGAGTATCCGATTTGCATGACCCAAAAAATATTCAATTATTAAAAAAAAATTATTTCAGAAATATTTTTTCCAAAATAATGTTTTGTATATCGAAAATAATGCAGATTTTAATTCCAGTTCTGACCTAAAGTTCTAAAGCTCACTTATATACTTTAAATTAATAATTTTAACTTTACAATTCAGTTTATATAATTCTCATAAATATTAAACAATGTTACAGTATTTATAGTAATCTGTTCGTAAACA